AATGTTTGAGCAACTTGGCAAATAAAACCTGAGTGAAGACGAAACTCGGCCGTATAGTGTCAACTGGATGGGACCAGGTTGGGCTGATCCACGCTGCATGGGATTCAAAGCTCTTCAGCAGACCCATGACACATGAGCCCATTCCATGAAGAGACGGGTTGACCCAGGATCCAAGGCATATTTAATTCATGGGGTACTAGCTGACTGACCATGTCACCGTGCTCGGCTTCTTGGTAGGTGATGGACCCGACCCAGTAAACTGCATGATGACCGGCAATGAAAAGCCGAGGTAAACTTGGCAAATAAAAATGAGACGGCTGTGGGCTGATCCACAATGCATGGGATTTAGAGCTCTTCAGCTGACCCATGACACATGTTGAGCCCAATCCATGAAGAGATCGGTTGACCTAGGATCCAAGGCATTTTTAGCTATGTCAATTCATGGGGTACACTTCTCAGCCGATGCACATTACCAGTCCTAAGAGAGTCTTGATGGCCGGTCCACCTTTGATGGGGTCAACTGATCCATGGGCTCATCAGCAGGCACCATCAACTATGGTCTGTTTGTATGGTCGGGGGGCTCAGTATTAGTGGGGTAAGGTAACTAATACTTGTGGTCACATGTCGTCATCCCATCGGCGTTGCGTGTCCTGGGTGCATTCCACATTGTCGGGTGCTGTGTCCGGGCTGCAGGCAGGGGTGGGTAGTGGTGAGCCTCGTCGCCATCCATGGGTTGTGGTGCCGGTGTGGTGTGCATTGTCGTCATGTCGGTGTTGCGTGTGCTGGTTGCGTCATCATTCCGTGTCATGTCATCGTCCTGTGTCCTGTCTCTCAGCGAGGTGAGTTGGGAAGAAGGTGGGATGGGGGTGCTTACCGGTGATACACGTTGCACGGGGATGACTGTGAAAGTGCGAAACACGCGAACAAGGATCAAGCACATCGGGAAAACCCTACACACCTAAACACCCACACACACACACACACACACACACACACACACACTATCACAATCTCAGTGCATGAGTTCGAGGGCCTTTGGTGTTGAGGAATACCACTTTTGTCTTCTTAGGTTAAGTCTCAAGAGTTTTCGTTCAAAATGGGTTTTTATTATAAGGTGTG